TATGCCATCATGTAAGAAAGTAATATAATTATAATCGTATAATTGAGTTAGGTTGATAAATTAGCTATTAACTTCTGTTTTGAAGATTTATGTTTATAATTTGAAACTCGTTCAACTTTTGGCTTGCATCTAGCAGCTAAATTTCTGAAGAAACCTGAACAAAAACAAATTGATTTATTTTTCTTTCTAGTGGTTTTGGGAAGTTGTAGAAGAACTGACTCAAGAAGAACGGGTGCTGCTATTGCAGTTCGTCACTGGCAGGTGAATGCATTTTGTTTTTACCTGTTTGTAGAAAAGGGTTCATAACATTTTCTGTTCCAGATAAGAGCATGACATTTTCAGCAAATATTGCTACAACTACCTATGGATTTTAGATCATATAGCAGCTTGTGATTTTTGGATATCTAACAAATAGTTGTTTTTGTTTTAAAAAAATCAGATTATAGATCTAATACTGTAACAAATAAATACTTTTTTATTTGGACCAGTTTCCTTGTTTTACAGTGAAATAATAACTTGGCACCAAAGCTCAAAATTATTCTACGGTCAAAGCATCTTGCAGAGGTACCATCTTTAGCACAGAAAATCCAGTAGTAGAGCTATAACTACTGTAAGAATGCCATAGTCCCTGCTGTAATGTCAAAGAGTTCGCATAATAACTTTTTAATTGTGTGGATTTTTTTTTTTTAAATTGATGTATGTATATATTGGGGTGGGGGAAATAAGTGTACAGATTTCTAGAGGGACAATTTATATAAGACTCTCAAGTAGCAATGTACCAGGAGGGACATCACCTGATAATTTGGTTTTGCCAATGTGTCATATTTAAGCATTTATATAGCCATTGCAGAATACTGAAGTTGAGCTGTTCAGCAGATGGACCGAGAATGTAGCAGATGCATGGCACAAAATAGAAAATTTTTGTCTTGGTGAAACACATTGTTTTGTTGTTGCAGACGAACTTGATTTGTTAATGCTTTAAAGCAGGGGTGTCAAACTCAATTTCATTGAGGGCTGCATCAGCATTATGCTTGACTTCAAAGGGCCAGTTGCTGTCCCCTTCTCTCCCTCATGCTTTCCTCACAGAAGCCTCGCCTATCCCCTTCTCTCCCCCAGGCTTGCCCGACTGATATCTCTCTTCCTTATTGCCTTCTCTCCCCCCTCACTCCTTCTCCTTCCGCCAAAACTCCTCCTTTTATATCCTCTCCCGGCTGGCCTTTTCATGCAGCACATCAGCTGGAGCTGTGTGTGCTGATTCTGGGGTGCCCATGCAGCCCCTCAACTCCAGCTGACATTTCCCCCGAAGACTGCTTACAGCTACCAGCCATCCCCGAGGCCACCAGAAACCCCAATCAGCTGGAGCTATGCGTGCTGATCCTGGGGCCTCAGCAGAGCCTCAGCAACACCGCAGCTCCAGCTGACTCTCCCTCAGGTCTCTCTGGCGTTGCTGCTGCTTCAGCTCACACACCCCCCCGCTACATAATCACCTCCTACTAGTCTGCTTGCGTGCCAGATTTAAATACATCACGAGCCAGATCTGGCCCATGGGCCTCGAGTTTGACATATCTGCTTTAAAGGAAAAAAAAAGCATGATTAGCTTTTATTAAAGGTAGCTTTTTATTAAAGGCAGTCTTTTTATTAAGCTTATGACCGCAATTAAGAACAGGAATTCTGTAGTTGCCCAAGTTTATGATCTTTTTACAACAGTTAAGTGAACCACTGAAGTTGTTAAGTGAAGCACATGGTCATTAAGTGTATTTGACTTCTCCATTGACTTTGCTTGTTGAAAACCAGCTTGGGAAGTTGCAAATGGTGATCATATGGCCCCAGGACACTACCATCATTGTAAATATATTTATTTATTCATTAAATTTGTTTGCCACCCATCTCTCCCCGAAGTGACTCTGGGCAGCTTACAATGTTACAAAGAGTAAGACTGTACAAAAATGTGTATACAATAAGAATAAAATACTATAAAAAGATAAATTATCAGCTGTAACTAAAAGATGGGGACGCAGGGAGTAGGATAAGCAGGGAAGGAGGTGGGATATATTGTTAATCTATCTACTGCCTTCAGTGTGACACTCCCCCATTGGGAGTACTGGTTGCCAAGGCCCCAAATTCTGATATGTTAGGCTGCTGTGACAGTTGTTAGTGTAGTCCTGGTCCTAAGTCACTCTTTTCAGTGCCATTGTAACTTTAAATGGTTGCTAAATGAATGGTTGTAAGTCAAGAACTAGTTGTACTTAATTGTTGCTAGTTCTTTCTTTAGATAAACTGTTTGTTTACTATTTTATTTTATTTTGCTCTTGAGAGGAATTTCTGAAAATGTTACAGTTTTAAAAGTTTGGATAAATATATTTTTAAGGAATTAGAGCAGTTTACAGTTGTTGGGGAAAGTGACTGATGCTTGAAATAGGAATATCCTCAGTTGTGGGCATAATTATAGAATCATAATTATAGAATCATTACATAGTTCAATAATTTAGGGTGGTTTTTTTCAACCATTGTATTGTACAGATCACTAGATCCTACCAGAAACAAAAACATGAAAACAAGGCAGTGGATAGAGGCTTGCTGATTGAATCTTCTTCCATAGTGCTGTTTTTTTACATGCTAACAAGGGCTCAAGAAAATAATAATAGGCTCTCCAAGTCTTTAAGAGTATCTATCTCCCAGCAGAAAATAAATTTCCTTTGTGGAATTTTTGCCAAACAGACAGCAGCTAAAAGCAGTGCTCAGTAAACGTTTTAGAAGAGCATCTGCATTTCTGCTTCTGATGGAGTTTGGTTGGTATCTGAGATCTGGGCCAGTCTGGAAGCAAATCCCAAACCAAGTAGCACTGTGTGGGGCTTTGACAAATGACAGACAGGCAAAATTCTTTCTTCTTTCAAGGGAAAATAGATTGGAAGCTAATGCTGGCCCAGATTTAATGCAGTGTGGATTAATCCAATGCAGTGTGTTCTTCCTCTTCAGATTATGGCTTTAATAAATTACCTTGTACCCCATTGATAAGAGTGGGATTTTTTGCCCCAGTATTCTTTACAAAGTATATTTGCACTACAATTATAATGAAGCCATTGCTTTCTTCTGATAAAACTGAAAAGTTAAAGCAGAATGTATGACATAAGAAAAGCTTTTGGAAAATCAATAAGATTGTTAATTATATGCCTTTTTATTCTGTAATTCTTGTGATGTGAAATGAAAAAGTGATTACCTGACTTTTGGCAAAGTAGTGTAGACATGTTGACTTGTTTCTATCAATGGCTATACAAGATGGGAAATCCAATTGTTATGGCTCCTTTCTCTCATTCTTCATGCTTCACTAAAAATTGTTTTTGAAATCTAGGAATGCCTCCTGTGAAGAAGGCTGGACTTTTGCAAAAATCTAGTTTCGCTCACAGTCTGCTTTGTGAAATAAAAACTCAGTATATCTGAGTTCTTAAGAAATATAAACATGAAATTGTTGCTTTTAAGCCTTTCTAATAAAATACTTAATGAAGGATTTTTCTTCACTGGGTATTTCTGGACCAATTAAGATAAAACATTTCCAAATGCTGCATCAGGAAAGCCAGTAACTAACATTGTTATCTAGAGTGTTATGTATTGAAATACAGCTCTGCGAAGGACACTATTTCACAAAACAATATTAAAAGGAAGGCAACCTCATTTTTACCCTAAAGCCATTACTTTTGTTCTGTAAGTACTTAAAAGAAGTTGGAACTTTTAGCAGTTGCTCTTTATATTAGAACTGTAGCAACCTTAACAATTTATTTCTGTCACTCATAAAGAATTTGTATATTATATGGATTTTTAGTTACTCTTTCATCCTGCAGCATATTAATGCATTTTCAGTTTCTGTTTGCCGTGGTTAGCTGTATGTTTCACATACTTCAATAGCTTCATTGCCAAAATGAAAACGTTAGTTGCATAAAAATGTAGATGTATTGCTTAGATGTTTTAGAACTGAAAATGTGATTGCTATACTGGAAAAAATGTGTGTATTTGACCTAAATGTAATAAAGAGCACAGGGATACTAATAATCTTGTATATTTTTCCCTTCTCCCCTCTGAACGGCTGATAAAAGTATGTAAGACCTCTATTCTGTGGATCTTCCAGTGAAAGCTTTGAGGGGAAGCTGGCACAGTGTTGTATTTTTTATTTTCAGTTCAGCTTGTTATCCGTTCTAGATCTTCTCTAAAAAGTCATTGCAGGGTTCATGTATTAAGGATGCGTGCAGTTTTTCTTAAACTTGTTATCATCAATGTTTTTCAGTTCTAGAGTACCCCATGGTGGCTTTGCCCATATAATGGGTGGTAGTGGATTGCAAAATTTCACAATTGCTGCTGTGCCATATACGCCAAATCTGCTACCCACATCAAGTACATGGTAGGTTATTGAAATACATTAAGGACAGGATGTTTTCCTCAAATTCTTTTTCTTTGGGGTCCCAGACAAGTATTTGCCTAGGTATTATCTTGCATAACTTAATAAAACACTCGCTTCTAATAATTTTGATGTAGAATTGATTCTACATAATTTAAATTATGTCTTCCATTTTGTTGGGAAAAAATGTACCTCTTGCAATAGAGTATTAATGGGCAATAGTACAGAATCACTAAAGGATCCTTAATTTAAAATTGCTCTATTGCTTTTTCATTTTGTAAAAGATTTTTTTTTTTGGCTAGATAACATTGGAATACTAAAGGGGACTGCAATGCAGTGCATTTGTTCTTTTATACTTTACTTCAGACAAGTAGGAATTTGAATGCTGATTTGAAAGTGTGGTGTCACATTAATTACCTCATGCAAAACAAATTTCTACTTTCAAATGCCATGTTTTAATGGGGAATTCTTTTTTTTTTCTATTTCAGTATCAATATGCTGAAGTTGCCTGAATATCCTAAAAAAGAAATCCTTAAGGACAGACTTCTTGTGGCATTACATTGTGGAAGCTATGGATATACAATGGCATAATGAAGCGGGACAACATTTCTGATTGCTGATGTGCAATTCCTCGTGGCAAAAATAATTTGGCAATCTGTCAACAGAAGGGAGATGGTGGTAGTTAGGAAGAAGTCTTGGTTTTCAGTTGATAGGTAGCATCGATTTTTACAAGTTGCAAAAGATAACAGGGCATCTCTTTCCTCTATGCCATTAAGCATTTTTACGGATAATTCTGAAACTCAGTTTTTAAATGCTATTTCTCCATTAAACACACCATATATCCCAGTCCATCTCTCTAATCTCTGTTTTTTATTGGAACACTCTGAAGCTGTTCTAGTTGTAACAGATGTGAAATGTGTTTGCCTTTCCACCCTAACTTTGCCATTAGTAAGGGTTGCAGTCAAGTATAATACTAGCTGACTGTGTTATATAGGCAGAGAGATGCTATTCTCCTCCATGATTAGTGTGAGATCTGAAAATCACTGTCTTTAACTTCCAAGGGCTTGTTCATTCCTGTAAGATGACATAAATACTAAGCATGTTAGAAATATTGTATACTTTTTGCCCATGTATTTTCTTGCATGCAAAAAAGTGACATATATTTATTTATTTATTCTTCAGGGGACATTGAACAAAATTAGAGAACAAAATAGCAAATGTGATTTATTTTTTTCTGCTAAGTTTAAATACTTTTTTATTTTTCTAGTTATTTAATATCTAAACATCTAAAAGGCTTATTGGCAAAAAATTAAATTTCTGGAAATAAAAAAAAATCTGTATTGTACATTTCAAATGCACAACGTAGTCACAACTGAACTATCAGCAATTTCATGACCTTTGAAAACATGTATATTTATTTTAAAGGAATATTTCCCTTTAATGGGTAAGGAGTCATTTTCTGGTGCCTGAACTTTGAAAAAAATATTCATTAAAATGAAATATTTTATTTGTAAAATACCATTGGTCAGTTGTGTTTATCAATATTAATCTGTATCCATGTTTTTATGCTTGTTCTAATAGTAGATTATAGACATTTGCTCCATTAACTAAGAAGATTGATATGAATGGGTTATAGCATAGAACAGGCTAAAACATATAAGGAACGGTTGCTGGAATTGGGTATGTCTTAATGAAAAGAAGGACTAGGGGTGACATAATAGCAGTATTCCAATATCTCGGGTTGCCACGAAGAAGAGGGAATCAAGCTATTCTCCAAAGCGCCTGAAGGCAGGACAAGAAGCAATGGATGGAAACTAATCAAGGAGAGAAGCAACCTAGAACTAAGGAGAAACTTCCTGACAGTTAGAACAATTAACCAGTGGAACAACCTGCCTCCAGAAGCGGTGAATGCTCCAACACTGGAAGTTTTTAAGAAGAGACTGGACAACCATTTGTCTGAAATGGTATAGGGTTTCCTGCCTGAACAGGGGGTTGGACTAGATGACTTCCAAGATCCCTTCCAACTTTATTATTATTAATTATTATTATTATCTTTTATTCATTAAACATGAACCTCACTCAACTGAACAGTCAATTTGGCTGGCATTGATGGTTGACACAGATTGCTACCAGCATCCTAGATGTCAACCAGGTACCTCCTTAAAATATAAGATGTTCCAAGTAGCGCAGTTTTTTGTAACGTTGCTGGAGTTATTGCAGGAAGCTGCAGTTTCTTGATGTATTTTGCGAAGTTTTTGGACATAGTTCCCAGTGCCCCAATGACTATGGGTATCACTGTTAACATGTTTCATCCATAATTGCGCAGTTTCGATGGCCAGGTCACGATATTTTGTAATTTTTTCCAGTTCTTTTTCTTCAACTCTGGCACCTCCTGGTACAGCGATATCAATCAGCTGTACACTTTGGTTCTCTACAACTGCGATATCTAGCGTATTGTGTTCCAAATGGCGATCTGTCTGTATTCGAAAGTCCCACAAGATCTTCACCCTCTCATTCTCAACAACTTTTTCCACCCTATGTTCCCACGACTTTTTGGACACAGCAAGTCGTATTTTTTACACAATGCCCAATGGATTAATTTAGCAACTTGGTGATATCTAGCTTTGTAATAATAATAATAATAATAATAATAATAATAATAATAATAATAATAATAATAATAATAATAATGATGATGATGATGATGATGATGATGATGATGATGATAATATAATATAATATAATATAATATAATATAATATAATATAATATAATATAATATAATATAATATATAATATATAATATAATAATATAATATAATATAATATAATATAATATAATAAATATAATATAATATAATATAATATAATATAATATAATATAATATAATATAATATAATATAATAATATAATGATATGATATGATATGATATAATAAATATAATATAATATAATATAATATAATACAATACAATACAATACAATACAATACAATAATAATATAATAATATAATATAATAACAACAAAACAACAACAATAATAATAATATAATATAATAATAATATCTAAAGAGCTAAGATTTAGCATTGAAGCCCTGAACAATATTATGCTAATTGACATTTTACTTAATGACTGCCATGTCACTTGCTCCTCTTAATTTTCATATCTAGATTAATTATTATGATCATGGCATGTTGCAAAATGAACTTCTATCTTCCAGAGCCTCTGTGCAGTTCCCAGATGTATCCATAGAAAATTAAAAAGTGTGAATTATTTAGGTGGATGTAATTCAGCAATTTATTTTGGACATGCCCTTTCATTTTGAAATCAGTGTAGTTAAGTTGCAAGAGAGGGCTAAAATGGGTGGTGGTATACAGTTACAGTATAAACGAATCTGGGCTATTGTGTGGGGTGTGTTAGGTTAGTTTACTACTTGAGAGGTCTTTCTTGGTTTTGGGGGGAGGGATGGGTGCTTGAGCGTCACATTTATCCTTTGTGAAAAGAATATTTTCTTATGTTTGGCATTTAAAGGCTAAACATTACTTAGATGGTTGGGCAAGTCACCTTTTGTTTTTTAATGTTCTACCAGTTTCCTGCTAAGAAATATATATTTTGTTCAATCATTTTACAAGGGTATCTCTGTCTCTGTCTCTGTCTCTGTCTCTGTCTCTGTCTCTGTCTCTGTCTCTCTCTCTCTCTCTCTCTCTCACACACACACACACACACACACACACACTCACACACACACACACACACACACAGATTGAGACTTAGATTTGGTCCAAGAGAAGTCAGGCAATCTTTTGTAGTTCAGGGCTACCCATTTGTTTCATTGAGTTTTATTTATTTTGCTTCCAAAGGAAGCAGAGGACATACCCAGTTGATTTAATGACATTCCTCAAGAATGGATGGCCCAAGGGAACAGTTTATCAAAATCTGGAGTACACTGCATCTCCTTCAATCAATGTGATGTGATCTGGGGTTCACAAATTGCTCTGTTTTAGACTAGGATATCTTACTATATTCTTAATTGTAAATGATTTTACCTTCTCTAACCTATGACACTTTTCTGCAGTGATAGAAGCTATCTATACAGAAAAGGTCTTATTAGAATGGTGGTGAGTAATCGAAGAGGTATTGACTGCTTCTCTGGCTCAGCATAGATAATGAGAATTGTAAATTATGGATGAGGAAAATGATGAACTAGATGTCTCTGAAAAGTGCTGAGATTCTGCCAGGCCAATATCCAATGGATTGGCAGCAATTTTGATCCAGTGGAACCTTTATGGATAAGGAGAGGATGAGAGACTGCCCATTTGTGCTCTGGATGGCTGCTCTTCATGAGAGATAGCAGGATAGGGTTCATCCCACTGGTCTGAGCACCAGGAGACAAGGGAAGCCATCAAGCTCTCAATCATAGGGGAGCCTTTAAGAACACTGGCTCATTCAACTTCATTTTCTAATCACCTTTTGATTTACAATTATTTTACAGTTAAACGAGATCTTCCAAACAACAAGATTGAAAAACATCTGGTGAATACATATCCAGGGAGATTCTCAATCATCCAGGTCATGGTTTCTAAAAGGCAACTGGATTTTCTTGATTTTTTGCTTGCAAAAGTTCTGAACTGAAGAAGCTTCTTGGATGAGAAATGAAACATTTTTTAAGGGAAAAAAAACACAAGAAAGTCCAATTGCCTTTTGCAAAAGCACCTTTGGGACACCTGGTGAGTAAAACATCCCAAAATAGAAGAAAAATTAATTAGCAGTTTAAAAAAGTTAACGTAAAACAAGTGACAAAAGGCTAAATAAGAATTCAATGTAAGAAAATTTTAAACTGATTAAGGGACCAATAGTAAAAACATGAATAAAGAAAAATGATGTATTAATTGAATAACATGTGACATAATTATACATTTCAGTAATTAGCTAATTTGTATGGTTGGGGAATATGTACAAATCCCTTTGAATTAGGTTATATGTATTTCTAAGCATTAGAAATGTGTTAATAGGGCCCCCTCATATAAGCTCTTGGGCTCAAGAGAAACCATGTACTAGTGTGCTTATTCTAAGGATAGGATCTGACATCTTGGCTCCATGAAATTAACCTAACAACACCAGGTTTCTTTCTCCAGTTATTGTGATTTAGCTCTCTGGATAATAGATGTTAGTTCTAAAATGTGGGTTCTTTCCACAGGGCCCAGTTGTTTTTTTGCCACCATCTGTGCAGTGCAGAAAATATGTTTTGGACACCCCCATAACAAGGCATAGAAAAATAAACTAATATCTCTGCATCTTCATTTCACAAAACATATTATGGCAAGAATTCCCCAAACATGCTGATGTTGGATTGGTGCAGAACTCGGGCAAATCTCTCTATTTTTTAAAATATATAGTGAGTCTTTCAGATTATGGGTATGAGACCTGTGCTGCTCTACCTATCACAACTGTAAGTATTTGTGACATTCGATGTCAAGAGTTCAGTGGATGAGTTTTCCAGAGAGCACAGCTATTCATCAAGATTATTAGGATTCTCTGGAGATAGCTTTGGTATTCTGATTGCCTTTGACACATCAGTTTGCTTAGATTAAAAGAAAATTGCTACTGTCTACTTGAATTTTAAACACTTCAGGGAAAGGAAAAGACCTCTGAAAGGTTTAGTTTATAGAATATTCTATAAAAGGATTTTGAGATGCAAAGAAAACATTGAACAGTAATACCCAATAATTAATGCATTTTTTAAAGAAATGCATTTGATAATTGTTACTTATCCTTGAATAACATATTTTTCATATACAATTTCTACCATTCTTCTACTGTGAAAAAGTGACATATAGCAATTTTTCTTCTAGGTGTAGAAAGCTTTTTGATGTAGTGAAGCTACTATGAACAATCAACAAGCTGGGGAAGTATCAGCTTCTTCTAAAAACATTTAGTTATCTCAAATTAACAATTCAGATATTCTTTATTAAACTTGATGAAATAAGCTAAAATTAAGACTACAAGTTGTCTCATTTAGAAAAGCAAAACAAAACATTAACTGTATTGCTGCTCAATGATATCATAGATTTCCTATCATTGACGCTTGGCTGAAGAGTATAGAAATTTCCTATAATAATAAGCTCCAAACAACCAGCATTTCTAGGCAAAACCCAGGAGATTCAAATGGGATATAGAATGCAGGGTAGACTTTATTAAACTGCTAGCCTTGAAATATTAGAAATGCAGCTTTCTTCCATGCAGTTTTAGCCCTTGAATGATACCCTTTCAACCAATAATGTAGAACATGGACCTTGGAATTCACTTCAGAATCTGTAAATGTAAGCATACACATATATCATATATTGTACATCTGTGATTAACCCAAATTAAATAAGACTGGTTAAACCATCTTGTGGTTTGGCCAATGGGGAATTTTCCACGGCAGGCTGGGGAATTCTGGGAGTTGAAATCCACAAAGTGTTGCTAAGATTAAGAAACACTATCCCAGGGGCAAA